AATGAATTTATTGAAACTTTAACTCACTTCTGTTGAATTTCCTAAAAGAAATTCCATGATACGTTCGTAACAATAAAAATACGTAGCACAGGATGGCATATCTCTTAACAAAGTGGCACAGGTACCCAAATAAAGATTTCTTATTCCACCTTCTATCAATAATTTTTGAGCACAATCTAAGAAACCTTTGTACTTCTTTGGTCCTTTATCCTTTTTCAAGTTAAATGTAAAACAAAGTGAAGGATACGGTGATAAAGTTGCATCTCGATAAAATGTAACTGTACTTGTGCTTGAAGTAGACACTTTATACGTTCACCAGGAGCAGCTACAATTGTCGTACAAGCTCCACTAAACATTCCTGAGATTAATATTTGCAGTCCCGTGAATCTAGTTTGTCCTGGTTGTGAAATAAGTAATTTTCCGGCACCAAAAGAAAAAAATCCGATAGCCGAGAAAGGAATGACGACTGCCAAAGGTGCTGTTATACCCTATTGTTTAAAAAAATCATGATTATTATTCATTATTTTGTAAACGAAAAATAAAAATAAGTATACCTTGTACAAACTAAATGGTCCTTCCCTTGCAATGAGAGTCCTAGCTACGTGAAACATACCCTTGTATATACCTGGTGACATTTGTAATTGTACTTTAATTGTGTCAAATGGATGACCAACGAGTACTACAGATAAACCTCCAAATGCTCCTCCTGTTTTTTGTTTTTTTTTTATAAATAAATATACATTATTATTAACAAAATTATGATTCTATGTTTTAAATCGTGATTAGGTTAATTATATTTTTTTACCAATTAAATATTCTAATGGAGTACGTTCCTTTGCCATGTTACTAATGAATATGATATTTTATATTTTCTGATATAGATCTTTTCTAATTTAAACATTTTTGAGACAATAAAACATAATTAAATATTAAAATATATATGTATATGCAAAATATAGTATTAGAAAAATCATTGACATATTGATTGTTATAAAAATATCGATCGAAATAGGAGATGCAGTTAGAGATATCGAAATCGTTTCGATGTCGAACTCTCGATTTGATATTCAATCGTTTCGATGAGTACTGATTGTGTTATTTTTTCACTACACAATAAACCAATTTAAAAAAGAAATTTGTAAAACAATTGACAATCTATCGCTTGCCATCATTGAAAAAATAAATTACTATCATAAAGGCGTGTTTTTACGTTATCGTTGCAGATAATTGGAATTTATTGTTTCAATGGTGGTAAGCGATAGTCAATTGTTTTATAAATTTCTTTGACAAAGGTTCCTTTTCTACATAATTGTTTTCTCATGTGCAATAAAATAATATTTTTATTCTGCATTCTCTTGATTTTATTGTTTATTTTTATAATATTTATCAGTGATATCTGTATTTAATAAAAATAATAATTATATAGTAGTGAAAAGAGTGTAAAAATGAGTGAGTTGCATACATGGATAATATTTGGAAAATAACATAAACAACATAGAAAAAAAGTATTTTCATAAATGAAAAAATACAAGTCTGGTATATAGATCATATATTCTAAACTTTTAGACATCAAGATAAATTACTATCCATTAATAACAAATTATTTATATATTTTAATAAATACTATTTTTACATTACAGGACAGTGTACAACTAGATGTCATAATTGCATGAGTGCCATCAAATAATTACAATAGAAGGAAAAAAATGATACAGTTATACATTTATGTTTCTTTTTTCGATTACAAATTAAATGTACACGTTACTTATAATTATTCTAAAAATAATGAATAGAATAAAGATAATGTAGACTAAAAACAGTATCTCTCATAGCACAAAAGATCATGTAAAATGATCTCGTGAATCGTGTATAAACGTTATTGTAAATATTTTTAAAACAATGTACATCTTATGCATCTCTTAAAATATTTAAATTGTAATGATTCTTTATCGATACAGACTTTGGAAATTTATTCTTTAATATGCTGCATTTCATATTAGGCATTTTTATATCGACGATTCTTTTCTATACGATTGTATTCTTTTGTACGAAACGACAAAGTTTTCATAATGTCTACATTGTCTTTATTCAATTCATTATTTTTAGAATATTTATAAGTDWYGTDTACATTTATTAGAAAAATAGAAATGATTTTTAATTTATTTAATAAATAAATTATTATATGTAGTTTGATTAGCGTGGTCATGAAGAAGGTCAGATTCCGTCCGTGTAGGAAGCTGTGAAGACCCTTTTTATATTAAAAAAAATGAATTAGCCAATCACAGGCAATGTTCTTTAGTTTTTTGGCGTCGTTCGTGGAGATAACATCGGAGGTGTCATCGTCCCGTTAATATCAGGTAATTAAAAGATATTTTATAAGGTTTACACCTTCCTATTATAATATATAAAGGATATAAGGATCAATTTTGATTTTTTGAATATATTTTGACAATTTTTATGTTCCTATATCGTATTTTTAATCATTCAAAATTTTTCTTTATCATAGGTAGAAAGAAGATATACTGCGCAGCATTTTCGCGCATGCAGTATTTTCGCGCCAGTTTTATGCGTTTGTTTTATGCACATCAATATGGCGAATCTTTCGAATTTTTTAATCTATCATCGGTATACTTGTTGCAGTGGATTTTGTTATCCCGTTAATTTCAGGTAATTGTTTTAATTAATATTTTTACGTACACYTTCCTGTTATATATTAAATGATATATAACGAATGTTATATTCAAGATTTTTATACGCGAGTTTTCTCATATTTTACTTTCTTTTAGTTTTTCGAGCTTGGGGAAAGATACAACACGAATTCACTAACCTTTTAACTTTGTGGCAACTTTTTTTATCTTCTCTATATACGTCGAGGTAAGCATTATGTTTTTTAAGTATAAGCATATAAGCATATAGAAATACTACAGAAAGAGTGAGAGAGAAGGAGTGTGAGAGAGAGAGGAAGAATAAGAAAACAATACACTCGACATATAGGTTATTATAAATGTGTATTTATATTTCCAGGAATTTCTCGAGGAATTTTCTTCGTCGAATTTTCGACGACAAAACGTAAACAGCCGATAACATAGGTATAATAGCCGAACGTTCGACACTCCGAAAGTCTCCTCTACGAAGGTTACGTAGTAACGTATCTAGTATTCGTCTTCTATACTTCAACGAGACAACATCTACGAAAATAAGACGTGTTAAATTATTTAATAATTTTATTTCTAACCTTATCGTTTTGATTTTAATAGTTTAAAAAGATTTTCATTGCATAGAATGGTTTAAAAACTTGATTATTTTTTATGTTACTCTTTATTAAGTTTGCTCTGATACAATTACTGTTTTATTTAAACAACTTTAAAGATTTTTAATGAATATTTTAACTAACATTACATACTTGGTATGTGTGTGTTAATATACTAATATGCATTTCTTTTTATGATTTCAGAAAGACGTTCACTATCGTTCCATGGAAATCATACTAATCGATGGTGTTATAA